CTATGGGACAATTGTCTAAGACTGTTCACCATATTTCTTTTTTTAGAAACTTTTTATTTTGTGTTGGGGTATAACTGATTAACAATGCTTTGATCATTTCAGATGAACAGCGAAGGGACTCAGGTATACATATACTTGGATCCAGTATCCCCTAATGCCCCTCTCATACAGGCTGCCACATCACGTGGAGCAGAGTTCCATGTGCTGTACTGGAATACATAGTAGGATGTGCATGTCCATCCCAAACCCTCCAACTATCCCTCCCCGCCCCCCATCCTCCCTGCCCCTGGCAACCATAAATTCATTCTCTAAGTCTGGATTGTTCACTACATTTCTTAATCCATATTTTCTTAAATTGCTATATTCCTTAACTTCTTTCAGTAATAAGTAGTGAACAGCTATTTATCATTTGTTGCTGTTGTTGCTGTTATTGTTTAGTTGCAAGTCATGTCTGTTAAGCACTCAAAAAAACTAAGGTTAGAATATCCCTGGTAATGAATCTACAGGGTCTTTCCAATACAAGTAAACAGTAACAAAATAAGAGCCATAAATTGAGCAAAAGTCAAATTGCCTTAGTATTACGGTGAACAAAGACCACCTTCACTTCCCAAACCATATTATTAAGGAGAATCAGAAAAACTCAGGCATAATTAGCCTTCAATATTTTTGCTATACTGTGAAAGGGGGCAGAATCAGTTGCCACTATCTTTTATTCATTCACTATCATCGCTTCATCCGGTCCCCACATCCACAAAGTTCAAGAAACCTTCCTCCCAATTCCTCCTCCCAACCTGCTTTGCCTTTTTCATACTGTTCATGGGGTTCTCAAGGCAAGAATATTGAAGTGGTTTGCCATTTCCTTCTCCAGTGGACCACGTTTTGTCGGAACTCTCCACCATGACCCATCCATCTTGGGTGGCCCTACACGGCATGGCTCATAGTTTCATTGAGCTAGACAAGGCTGTGGTCCATGTGATCAGTTTGATTAGTTTCCTGTGATTGTGGTTTTCATTCTGTCTGCCATCTGATGGAGAAGGATAAGAGGCTTATGGAAGCTTCCTGATGGGAGAGACTGAGGGGGAAACTGGGTCTTGTTCTGATGGGTGGGGCCATGTTCAATAAATCTTTAATCCAATTTTCTGTTGATAGATGGGGCTGTGTTCCCCTCCTGTTGTTTGACCTGAGGTCAAACTATGGTGGAGGTAATGAAGATAATCTCCTTGGGAAAAAAGGTATGACCAACCTAGATAGCATATTAAAAGGCAGTGACATTACTTTGTCAACGAAGGTCCATCTAGTCAAAGCTATGGTTTTTCCAGTAATCATGTATGGATGTGAGAGTTGGACTATAATGAAAGCTGAGCACCGAAGAACTGATGCTTTTAAACTGTGGTGTTGGAGAAGACACTTGAGAGTCTCTTGGACTACAAGGAGATCCAACCAGTCCATCCTAAAGGAAATCAGTCCTGAATAGTCATTGGAAGCACTGATGCTGAAGCTGAAACACCCAATACTTTGGCCACCTGATGCAAAGAACTGACTCATTGGAAAACACCCTGATGCTGGGAAAGATTGAAGGCGGAAGGAGAAGGGGACAACAGAGGATGAGATGGTTGGATGGCATCACTGACTCAATGGACATGAGTTTGAGTAGACTTCTGGGGGATGATGATGAATAGGGAGGCCTGGCATGCTGCAGTCCATGGGGTCACAAAGAGTCGGACACGACTGAGTGACTGAACTGAACTGAACTGAATGAAGATAATGGTGATCTCCTTGAAGCTGTGACCAACCTAGACAGCATATTAAAAAGCAGAGACATCACTTTACCAACAAATGTCTGTCCAGTTAAAGCTATGGCTTTTCCAGTAGTCATGTATGGATGTGAGAGTTGGACTATAAAGAAAGCTGAGAGCCGAAAAATTGATGCTTTTGAACCGCGGTGTTGGAGAAGACTCTTAAGAGTCCCTTAGACTGCAAGGAGATCCAACCAGTCCATTCTAAAGAAAATTAGTCCTGAATGTTCATTGGAAGGACTGATGTTGAAGCTGAAACTCCAATACTTTGGCCACCTGATGTGAACAACCAACTCATTGGAAAAGACCCTGATGCTAAGAAAGATTGAAGGCAGGACAAGGAGACGACAGAGGATGAGATGGTTGGATGGCATCACCAATGCAATGGACATGAGTTCGAGTAGACTGGGAGTTGGTGATGGACAGGGAAGCCTGGGGTGCTGCAGTTCATGAGATCACAAAGAGTCGGACATGCTGAGCTATTGAACTGAACCGAACTAAACCTGTTTTGAAACTCACATCATCAGTCCCCCCATGTTACAGTCACTTTCTTATCGCTAGTCAGTCCCTCTCATAGGAAGAGTTTAGCTCTGGTTCATTGTCACTCTCTCCCATATTAGTTTTGCCATACATTTTAGTGATTTCAGTGACCCCAAAGGTAATCAATCCTTCCCTACACCTTTATCTTTCAGCTTCTTGACCTCTTCTGATCTACTTATCTTGCATTCAGAACAACCTCAGTTACTCTCTCCCAAGGGACATGCTTTAGACTTTAACATGAGCAGGACCCCTCATAACCTCAATTTCAAGAATCTCTCTTTCCAACCATCACATTCTATTCTTCTATTCTACTGTCTCTACTGATCTTACTCCAGCAGTGCCTTGGTCCTCTGCATGTACAGTTCACTGATCCTTCCACTTTTCACTGTCCTTCTGCCTCCTCCTTTTCCTGGCTTTAGTCCTCATTCTCCTGCCTGCTCAGCTTCAACCCCAAAGTCCACCATTACGATCACCCCTTTGCATAAACCCTCAACATCATTGCCTCTTCTTTGTATCTTATGCCCTTGAGAAACCCCACCTGGACTTGCATGGCTGAACACAACTGGAAGAAAAACACCCAACCATGGAGATGGTCTCTTCAAATTTATTAGCACAAATCTCAAGCAGATCCTTAATGCTGTCTAGCCACTCTGATGCATTCCTTTGGCCCATTCACTCTTCTACTCTCCTAGAAATTCTCTCTCTCCTCAAACTTTCAACACCACTCTTTCATCCTCCCTAATAGCTGATATGACCTTGCTTCTGATCTCACTGAGCATACAGAAGCAGTAGAAAACCACTTCTACAAGATACTGCTTCTGTCACCCTATCAACCCAACTACCAGCCTCAAAGTCCGTGCACTCTGTCTTCTTTCATGTTACTCTCCTCTTGGGCCTTCCAGAAATCATTGCAGGTATTTTTTTCTCTACTTATCTTAACCATTGTTTTCCCTTCTCAAAAGAATTTCTCCATCAGCATTTAAGTGTGCTGTTGTTTCTTCCGTGTGTTACAGCACCCTCTCTGACAACACCTGCCTGTCCAGCTTCCATTCCATTTCTCTGCTTCTCTTTATAGAAATAGTCATCAAAAGAGCAGCTGCCTGCCCTTCTCTTTATATGTTCTCTTGAACATATTCCAGTCATGTGTCAGTGAACCCCTTACTGCTTCAAAATGGATCTTTTCAAAGTCACTAGTGACTTGCATGCAGCTAAACTGAATGATCAATTCTTGACTCTCATCTTGCTTGACTCATGAGCAGCATTGACAGAGTATGGCTCTATCTCCCTTGAAATGTCGGGTTCTAGGATTCCCTATTCTCCTGGTTTTCCTCATCTGTTTTTTTTGGAAAAACAAACAAACAAAAACACCCCCCCAAAACAAAAAGCCACTGCTTGTTTTCAATGTTCTTTGTTGGTTCTTCCTCATTTTCTCAACTTCTTAATGGACTTCCCAGGTCACAGACCATGTTCTTCTGCTTTCTGTACTATTTATACTCACTCCCCTAATGTTCTTATTCAGTTTCATGGCTTATGCAATATATACATGTTGATGACTCCTACATCATCCTACATCCAGCTCAGATCTCACTTCTAGACTCAAGATTCATATATCCTTTTGCCTATACACATGTATGTCTTTTCTTGGATGTCTAATAGGTATCTCAGACTTAACATGTCCCAAACCAATCAGCTCTCTCCCCTCCTAAGTCTCTCTCCCTTCATTCTTCCACATCGCACGTACTGGCAATTCCATCTTTTCTGTTGCTCAGGCAAAAAACCTTAGTGTCATCTTTGACTCTTTTCTCTTGCAACCCAAATAGAATCCGACAGAAGATCTGCCAGGCTCAACCTTCAGAACATAGCTATAATCTGACCACCTCTCACCACGTCCTCAGCTACCATCCTGGTCTAGACTCTCTTAGGTTACAGAAACAGTTCTGATGATGTCGAATTGGCTCAACAGCAAAGTGGCCATTTCCCTTGTCTGGGGGATGGCAAGAAGCTGTATGACGCCCTAAGCCCCACACTCAGATTTTAACATTTCAGATGTATTCTTATGATGTTAAAATCGCCATCTCTTCTTAGTTGTCTTTAAATATTTATCTTGTGCCTAAAGCATTTAAGTACATTATAAAAGTATGTGTGTGTGTGTGTGTGTGTGTGTTAGTCCCTCAGTCATGTCTGACTCTTTGTGACCCCATGGACTGTAGCCCACCAGGTTACTCAGTCCATGGAATTCTCCAGGCAAGAATAATGGAGTATATAAATACATTAAAATAGAAAAACATGAGAAAATTAGGGAAAGGGGAGATAAGGATAGAAAAAAATTCATATGATGTCGCAGGTGAATTGGGCACACAGCCACATGCCATGAGGTTTTGTACCCTTGCTAGAAAGGGAATAATAACAGAGAAGTCTCTTCCTCTAAGATGTGCTTTAATATCAGATTTCTTTTTGCTTAACAGGCCTGCAGAAGACATCATGATCACAGTGGCTCCTTGGGCCTGAGTGGCAGGGGGCTGTGTGGGGAAGGAAAGGAGAAGGGTTGTGTGCTCAGAAGAAGTGAGGAAGACTGGGTCCTGACCTACACCCCAATCATTCCCTGGTATTCCCTCCAAGCTCCCACCTCCCAGCTCACCCCTACATGTTACCCTGAGTACTTACCAAGACCCAAGCAAGAAACTCTGAGTCCTGATTTTCCAAGATTCCTAAAATAAAAATAAAGCAACACATGGTCATCATTTCCTCAGGTAGAATTTTAACTGTGAGTATTAAATATCACTTAAAATTTTTTAAATTTAAATATAGTTGATTAACAGTGTTGTGTTAGTTTCAGGTATATAAACGTTTGATGACATTGTTCTTGACTAGAGCTGTGGTAGGGGCAGAGCTGCAGATGCAAGCCTGTGGTTTGGGGAAGAGGCTCTTTCATCCCTATCTGGGCACTAGAAAGTCCAAAATGTTCTTAGGCTCAGCACAACAACAAAGGTTCCCCCAAAACACAGCTTTTCAGCCCTATTGGTCTTCTTTATCAGTTTCTTACACGTGTAATATCTCTCTTCTTGAGGGCAAGATTTGTAGATTATTTACCCATCAGTCATTCTTCATTCATCAATCGATCCTGGCCCATAGTGGACCCTTAATAAACATTTGTTGGCTGAGTAACAGATGAACTGACCTTTAAAACAAACTATTACTACAGATGGATAGGGAATATTAAAAGAACAAATACAAGATAATCCTTTAGGCTATTTAAACTAAATTAGATTACTTTTATTAAAAAACTACACAAAATTCCTACAAAAAGGTCAGACAGTCCTTAAATGATTCTTCCTCTCCTCAACATTTTTGCTTTGCATCCTTAAAAGTTGATCCAGGGAGAGGAAATATATTTTCATTCTTTAAGTAGAAAAAGAACTAGGTGCTCTAATCTTAACTGTAAGGTGTTTGTGGAAACCCAGACCCAACCCATCTTCCTGTCATCTGCCTAAATGCCATCAGAGAAGAAATTGAATTCTCAGAGAAAGGATGTCTCATAGATTTTTGTAGAGATCCAGTGTGAAGAGATGAAGCTGACATTATTGAAACATGGTAGAAAAGTGTATTCCTTACTTTCTGATCAGATGCTTTTATGATAATACAGCTTTTCTTCCTGCTTCTACCCAAACAAAATAGAACTAACTTTTCTAAAAAGTTTTCTACAGCTCAGTTCTTCCAGATTCTGTCTTGATTATCCCACAGTTTGGTTTCTTTAGAGCTAGTAATCAGTGCTCTTATTTTTGCATCTATTTCTTTCCCCTGCTTGCTACTGTCTATAAAATTCCACCTAAGCAACACAGTTCCTTTCCTAGCATGGTCCAAAGGACATTACACTGCAAAGAGTTGAAAGATTCAGATTTTTGTGACTTTGCTGCAACCAGCTATGTGACCTTGGAGATATCACTTCCTTCCTTGGACTTTAATTTCTTCATAGTAAAATGGGGGTAGTAATGTCTATGCCATTCATCCAGCATCGCTGTTGTGGGACTGGAACATGATAATGTATGCTAATGTGTTCACAGTAAACAAATGCAAAAGCATAATTATTTTTGGTGCCTTCTTCTTATGCTGTCAGAGACATAGCGCTAAATTTTCCATATGAATTGGATGTGTCCACCTGGCAGGAAACTATTGCATAAAGGTGTGTGTGAAAAATATTTTGAACTGTTAAGTAGCAGAAAAATACTTGGACCTCTCCCATGAAATTAATTTGCATAAGGAATTGTTCTTTTAGTAGTTTCTCAGAAAACCACAGGATGTACAGGTAGAAGCTTTGCATTGTGGTCTAAAAGTCTACTGATTTTAAAGGGTAGGAATCTAGAGTGAAAGCTATATGGTGGGGTGTATAAAAAAAGACCTACACCAGAATAAAAAAAAAATCAAAGAAATATATAAGTGAATAACACTCTTCCAGGTAGAGATATTTGACATTGATGAATTACTGATTTATCAACAGATTACCATGTTCAGAGCAATGGGCAAGGTCATGAAGACACAGAAGCGCAATCGTGTAATCACAACACAGTGGGGGATGTCCTCCCATGGAGGTTCTTGGGAGGACATGGAGGAGCTCAGGTTTGCACTTGCATAACTATGTGGGTGTTGGGGCGGGGGAAAGATCTAGGCAAGGAATTTCATGTAATTTTAATATCTTTCCGTGACTTTGAGCACAATAGGGAACAGGAACTTGGTGCAGAAAATGAAGCAGAGGAAGAAACTTTTCTAACAAACTCAAATAGGGCAAATTATGACACTGGGCACTTACTGAGCAGCATCTCAGCACCCAAGGTAGGGAGACCTGCTCTAAGGTCCCTTATGCCAGGGATCTAGGGAGACAGTGACCACTCTGATATGGGTTTGGAGGGCCAAACTTGAGAAACTTGGGAACTGCCAGCTGAGACGAACTGCAAAGTAGCAAGCACTCAACCTAGCCCATGTTATTGCCACTGCTGTTTGAACACCCAGGCCAGCTTTTCTGGAATGAAAGCCTTAGAAGATTTTGCACTATCAGAAAAGTTCAATCACAGACAAATATTGATAGAGACGTGATAGGTCTCACATTGAGCCTTGGTGTTTTAACTTTATTTAACTTTTTCACAGATTATTTTTTTTCTATCTAAGTGGAACGATTGGGCTTCCCTGGTGGCTCAGTGGTAAAGAATCTGCCTACCAATGCAGGAGACGCAGGTCTGATCCCTAGGTTGGAAAGATCCCTGGAGGAGGAAATGGCAACCCACTCTAATATTCTTGCCTGGGAAATCCCATGGTCAGGGGAGTCTGACAGGCTACAGTTCATGGGGTCACAAAAGAGTCAGACACAACTAAACAGCGACAAGAATAAGTGGAATGATTACCAAATTCAGTTAGCTGTTTTTTAAAGTGAGAGGTATTTTGTGTGCATAAGCCATACCTGGTCTCTAAGTCCATTGCCCTTACTTTTTGCAGGGATAAGTCTCATTGTGAGGCTCCTCCCTGGTAAAGCACTCTTGCCCCTCACTTAGCAGATGGAGAAGATAGGAGGAAATAACTTCCTCCAGTTCATGTGGATTTCCAACACAATTTCCATGAGTCCAAATGGCATATCTCCACCCAGCCCACGTTCCTGTCTGCACAATACTGAGCGGAGGTGGGGTGATTGTTCAGCCACTTTGATCCATTTAAGCTCTGATGGGTAATAGAAGCCCAAATACTCGACACATTTGATCTAATAAGTCCAGAATACATCATCCAAAAGCTTGTTTATGTGACTAGAGCACCAGATAATGGCCAAGTTTACACATCACACTGGGCTGTGACAGGTGTCCTGGAACCTTCTCTATCCAACTCAATGGAATTTTCATGCACACTTCATGACCTTGTGTGACATTGTGCATTGAAACAACTTAATGTAATTGCATTTTATCTCTTAATTCCTCAGCATTAGCACAGGTGAGGATACCAAAAAATTCTGGAAGCACATCAAAAGTCCAAATAGATAGAATTTCTCTTCCATTTAATTCAAAGCAGTTGCACTGCACTAGTTTCCCTATTTTATCTGTGTCAGACATACCAGAAGAAAGTCTCACTGTGTTCATTTTTAGTATATGCTCCTGTTCAACTCAAAATAAAAGCTCCTCTTTCCCAAGTGAACCTGAGCTGCTCAGCTGCTAATATTAGAAATGAATGACATCAATATGGGGGCACGGGACACTTAGCTTTGTCAGTCAAATTTTGGAAATCCTAAACCTTAAGTAAAGCCTTGGGAAAGTTACTGGAGAAGGGATATAGCTTCTCAAGAAGCCAAAGGTTGCATTTCTTCTTTCTAAAGACAGAATTGTCCTCTCGGTGGCTGAACTTGTTTTAGGACAATGGATAGTCCCATGACAGATTCATTAAATATAATTTCTAGTGTTGTTTTGTGGAGCATCCATCATGCTCTTTTAAAGACAATAATAGAGTTGTAAGAACTGAAATCAAGTGTCACTTAGGCACAGTATCAAATGCCATTTGATGTTTGCAGGTCCTTTACAAATCAAAGATGCTAAAAGCAGAAAGTTAGCAGCCTAAATGTGTTGTTTTAAATTGCTTGCTTCCTCATACGTGTATCTTAGACACTATTTACAGTAAACTGCTTGGAAGAAAGGAACAGTTGGCTAAAATAGGTACTTTACATTTGACCAAGAAAGATGCATGTTGCACAGGAGAAAAATCCCTTATTTGGAGGCTGACACAGCAGAGACAAGCTGAAAGCACATGTAAAGGGCTCAGTGGCCTTGTCAAACCGGCAGAAACAAATTTGGCTTGACCTGGTTTTCATGGGCTCAGATCATTACATCATCTGCTGTTTTAGTCTAGCTGAACATCTTTCTGATCCTTCTAAATCACATTCTGCTATGTGCGGGGCCTTATCTGGAAGCTACTAGTCAAACGTGGGGTGTGGAATGGAAAAAAAAATGTACAGTTAACCTGTTTTGAAAAATACAGAGAAGAAGGTATGTTCATTTGTCAGCCAGCTGGTTTTTATAGTTGTATGAGAACATACATTTTAACCGCCATAAAGGTGACTACAAATGGTAATAATGTTTTCATATGAGGGCACTGTTCATCACTGTTGACAGTGATAAATGATTCATTTGGAAACCACCAGGCATATAAATGATTTAGCCATGCCTTTTGATGACAGACATTGATAAGTAGCACAATGAAACTTTGTTTCATTCCCTTCTTTATCTAAGTAGCAGCAAAGTAGAATGGAATTCTTTCAAATTCTTTGATTTAAAGGTTCAAGCCATTTATCTGTTGTAAATTCCAACTAGATTCTTACTCATTTTCTTTGGACATATAAAAATCACCTGTTGATCTGTGCACTCTAGAGAAGTCTACACAAGTATAGCAAAAAGTGATCTCCCTATAGTTAATTAATTAGTTCAACAGAACTGTGTGTGACATTGGGCGGGTTACTTAAACTTTTTAAGCTTCTTTCCTCATTCATAAATGGGGATATTAATAGCTCCCTGCTTTTTTTTTTCTTTCGGAGATTGAGAAAATATAAATCCAGAACCATTCCCAGGAAACTTCGGTGTTCAAAAAATGATCCTTTCTTCCTTTCTTATTTTCTAGGAAAAGTGGCATCTCAAACACTGAAGCTGGTGGGGTTCCGATTCAGGACTAAAGCTGCTAGAAGGCTGCT